AAGGCAGCAACAAAAGCCACTGAAAAAGGTGCAGAACATGTTGGAAGCAAAACAGGCTAGCTAATTGGAGAGAACATTTATGCAAGTTCAATCCTCCCAAACAACCAAAACACTAGAGACAGGACACAAGAGATGTTAAACAGCACAAACAAGACACTGGTTTTTATATCAGTCCCCAAGAGGATAAAGGAGAAGAAATCATCAAATTTTTGCCAACACAAACGGAGAACAACACAATGAAACAATTAAAAGAGCCCCAAAATAAACATTTCTGCTGTCACAAGAGTTTGATAAATTGATTAACCTGTAAATTATATGTACTCTTATTATACACACGATTTTTAGATCTTCAGAAATTTGTAAGAGATATGAATGGTTCCATTGATTTACAAAATCCGATAAAAATACCTGCAAATGGTCAATCTCAGGAAAAGGTGGCTGATTTAAACCAACATACAATGAGACAAGTTAATCATGTTCGAAATAATGCGAATTATGCTTGTGAAGCACGTGATATTGTTGATGGTGTCAATGCAAATTATACTGAAGGATTTGTGAAGAGAAAGGCGGTTCTCTCTTCTGGTGCTGATGCAAGCATTAATGTGATCTTAACACTTAATGGATTTGGTTTTTTCAATCATTTTTTTGATCAAACGGTACCAAACGGTAAAGTAAGTTTTGATGTGAATTTTGAATTTAATACCAACCTCCTTTTGGCAGCAACCGGTCTTAATGTGGGCAGATATATTGTCACAAGATTCGTTTTATGGGTGCCTAAAATGATTCTCAAAGCATTGGGTGAACAGATGCTTCTTGATTAGTATTTGAAACCTCATACGTGGTCATATCTCAAAGAGAGAATCGAGATTTCACTAAGCACACAGCAAAGACGGGGAAGTTTTAAACTTAAAAGCAGAATCAGTTAACCAAGGCATGTATTCATTTGGGCTCTTAATAATAATAAATCGAATGAACATGAACAAAACATGTTACTGTTCAATACTTACAACATTGCCAACGATCAAACAATCACATCTGCTCAACTTGAAATGTCAAATGGTGTCTTATATCCACAAGAAAGAATGAATCCAATGTTTGAAATAGTCAAAACATACAGAACATTGATGTCATTTTCAAAAGGATTCAATGATTATCTCTCAGGACCCACCATAAGTCTTAGGTCTTTTCAGGATCTGTATGGAATTCTGTATTTCGATTTGACAAACCAAGAAGAGGAACTTAAAGTGGATCAACCAAGCTTGAACTCAAATATACTCTGTCTGGTGGTCCAAATGCTGGATTTAGTTCGTATGCTCTTATTTTGCATGAGGAAGATATCAGAGTTGAGGTTGAATGGAAAAGCTGTTCTCAAAGCTTAAATTGATTAATAACTTTCATTCATTTTCCATTAAGAAGAATCAAGTATGTTTCATGATCATTGAAATTTATGTAACATGTTATATACAAATTATAACTCAATATCATTCACATGGTGTCACTTTGAGTGATAATCAGAAAGCAAAATTAGCAAGAGCGTTCAAAGATAAATCATCTATTACTCTGCGACTATCAAATCATGAACTGAGTAGAAATGATGAATTGATGCTAACAAAGACGCAGCTCAAAAAGTTTCAGAAAGCAATTGCATCTAGTGTAAGTGTTGGTGTCAAGTTATCAAAGGCATAGTTTCATCATGTTGCAAGGAAAGGAGGTTCATTGTTCAGTACTCTTGTGAGTCTTGGCGCAAAAGTGCTACCAGTGGCAACAAATTCTGCCTCGAAAGTACTTCCTGGGCTTGCAACTGGTGCCTTGAGTAACCTTGGTAATTTTGGAATTGATAAGATTCTTGGACAAGGTTGGTATCAGAACACAAGCCAGAGAGGTGGTTTCCTTATTCTTCCGAATAAAATTGATCAATTGAATACATACAAAAATCTTTTAACCAAAAAACAGAAATAACAGATTCTTGCAGTTTTTTTTTTCAATCTGGTGGACTGGTACTCTTTTGGCATCGATTGGTGTGTCTCTTCTCTCGAATGCTCGCACAGGAAAAGGTATGCAGAATCGACCAACACAATCAATGCTAAGAACATTACTGCCACGATTACAACCATCAACATCAACATCGAACCAGGGCGGAAATGGTCTTCAGAATAGACCCTAGGATGCGCCCATGCCGTATTAACCGCCACCTTTTGACGGCAGTTGGGGAAACACAACACCGCGATATCAAACTTCGATGTCTTAAACTGTGTGAAATAAAACATTTCAATGATGATTTTCAAGAGATCAAATACAGAGTAAATTAAAAAAAGGATATTATATGATCAATCCTGATGACCAAATCGGACCTGGATAAACTAGATAAACTGGGATTTAATTATCTTTATATTGTAACAGTGCTCAATATCAAAACTGGACGAGTGTGTTGTTTCGTTACTATTGTCTGTATTACATCAATGAATCAAGCAAACAAAAAAGTTAATGTTGTCATAAAACCATTTTCACAAACTGACACCAATCATAATGAAAAAATTAATAGAACATTACTTCAAAAATACATAATCATATATATGTGGGAGCATTTAATGGTGATAGTCACATTAGAGGAAATTTGAAAGGTAATGATAGAGGACAGGGTAGGGAGGAGCCGGCTGGACTACCAGGACAAAAGGGTAATAAAGGAGATACTGGTGCACAAGGGCCAAAAGGAGATACCGGTGTTCAAGAACAAAAAGGTGATACTGGTGCTCAGGGTCCACAAGGTGCACAAGGTCCAAAGGCTGATACTGCCATCTGGCAGTAGTAGTGTAGGTCTTTCAACTGCTTTATTATTGGATGAAAGTCAGGCGATGATTGGCAATTTAGATATGAAGGTAATAAGGTGATTAACATCGCTGACCCAACAAATGCTACACACAGTTCCATCCAACGGTGTGTTGATCCAAAAACAAACAATGTTTTGAGAATTGATGGTTCGAGATCAATGACTGGAAATCTCAATATGAATATAAGTATAACTAATATCAAAGAAGCACCACCTCATGAAAGCGCTCATGCTGCTGTTGATTTTGTCAATAAGACGGTCTCTAACAATAATGCAATCATCATGAACTATTATGAGAAGTACGTTGATGACAGATTAAATCATTTTGTGTCAGGTAAAGATCAGAAAAACGCATTTCAATATCTCATGGGTAACTCTCCTTCTGAATTCAGTGATGAAGATGATGTGACTGGTGTCCAGATTACCAATAACGATTTTCACAAAGTCTAAAAAGAGACATATGAGAGTAAACTTCATCTTGATTCAGCAAAGGTTGTTACAGCAGTCGTGTAGGTCTTAATATGTACTCTCTTGCTACTGGTGAATATGTTGTCGTTTTTGAACTGAACTTTGCTTCATCAATTGACATTTCAACAGTCAAGATATCTGCTACCAGTAGTATTGAGAGTTTCAAGAACATCAACTAATTTGTTAAGTGATCACAGCCGAAATATAGTTCATCTACATAAATATTACAATGTGACTCAGAATTGTCTCATGATTGATATGGTTTTGAAAAATAAAGCTGGTATTAGTGACACTCAAGATTTGCAAGTATTTGCTGTTGTTGATCTTATTGTTTGGGATAAGATATACACGGTTCACAATGGTATCATCAATTTCAATGAGAAGGTTAAAATAGATGTAATTGATCCTGTCAACAATAAAAATCCTGTGTCTAAAAGATACATGACGATGGTATGAATAGATTAAATAACTCTTTTACAAATCGTAACAAATACTAATATGAAAGCAATCTTGAGCATAATAATGAAAAAACCGTTAAACTTAAAAACTTACCTCATGCCAGTACAGTAACTTCGGATGCATCACATTTCGGTTTAAAAAATGTAAGTGAATTGATTATTCAAGAAACACGTATTAATAAGACGGCCTCAAGGCATCCGCAGCTACTTTAAATCTCAAGGTAACAAATCAAAATATTACAAACCGTTCTAGAATTATTAATTTTGAAGATACACGGGGCCGTTCGATTGATATATCTACGTCTCACGTTGTCGGCTTACCAAAGTCTAGACGGAGGAACTTATACATCAATTTTGACTATGAATTTATAAAATTAGAATTTTTGACTGATTGATTAAAATAATCGAAACATATATATATATATCTATGTATATATAAAAGGAACTAAAACGATTTTTAATTTTAATCATATAGACAAAAATGTTGATAAAGATCAGATGGATGAAATAAAATCCTTATGCCGATTTTATCGTAAAATGTTTTGGCTACACAGGACAGCATACAAACATTTTAAATCATGAAATTTGTAATGCATACGAATTATCTAGATAGGAAAGCCGCAAGAGTGGAAAAAATTACCGTGCAGACAGGTTTTAATCAAAATAGTTAAATAAAAACTGTACAAGTTAAAATGACGTAAGTCTGTTTGTAGATGAAGTCTGCGTGTGGCAACAAAGAAAAAAATTCTTCTCTCTTCCCCGACGCCGTGATTGTCTTATCTAACGACGCAGCGGTTCTCGCACGAAAAATGGTTTTAAATCTTATTCAACGTTGAAAGTCAAAGTTGTGTTTCCAAGAGAGCTCGATTTCGTGTCGGAGATGGTTGGTGTAACTCTCAAGCCTCAAAGAAAGCAATTGAGGTTGTTATTGAAGTGATTAATCGAGGGGAAGTTTTGATTGATATCCAAAGAGAACAGTTTACAGATGTGATGTTGATTCGCTGATATGGAGTATTGCCAGTAATAAAAAAATACGTCGGTTAACATAGTTATTAAACAAGTAATACATTCAAAAAACGGGCCGGGCCGGGTTGTTCAAAGCTGGGTCAAGATTACCCAGGGTTGGTATAAAATTTGATTTCAGATCTGAAAGCTGTGCAAGATAATTCAGTCTAGTTCTTTTTGCCTACAATTTTATTATAGGATGCTCTACAGAATAGACAAAATTATCTGAAAAGAGCTCTTGAATAGGGAAATAAAGAAACCCGGAATACAATTTAACCATGGGTTAGCGGTAATCGGCCTTTGAACAACTGGGCCCAGATTAAGAAAATTGCAGCTTGTGATAATGGCGGGTATGCAACGGATACAACGAAAGTCATCAAAGACAAGAGTTCGAATCACGCCACAGGAACTATTTTCAAACTGACATATAGGGGGCCGAATAACTTCTGCCCGTGTGCTCTAAATTTTGGGGGGTTGCAGGAATGCTTTTTAAAAATTATCTTTATTGTATGCTTAAGAAACCATTGGCACAATGGGTCAAACCATAAAATCGTATCGTTTCCGTAAAAAATATTCACAGCCAGTTCCACCTTGGCCTCTCATAAAAACCTCTAAAACTCGAAAAACCCTTGATCGAAACCTATTAGTCGTTTATCAAATCATCAAATCTGGTGTAAAATTCTACCTTGAGCATTTCCTAAATGAATTCATCTAGTAGTGATGTGCTATTTGCCTTCGTTCTACATTCAGTTGGCTCTTTTCGTTCAGTACTGTCCAGTTGTTTGTCTTCCTTTCTTTTAGAACTTAATGGCTCACACTTATCTAATCCTCTGTTATTATCCTCTCTTCGTTTTGTGTCAAAGCTGGAAGAGTTATGCATCAGAAATTGATCCAAAATGGAAACTGCAACGAGGGGATTGTCATTCTCGAAACTAGAATCTTGGTTCTCTGCCACATAATTTTCATCAGCAGCTGTTGCTATCGATGGTACATGCGCAAGTCCAACAGAATGACCTGCCTCTGCAGGAGGCACGTCTCTGTTTCTCCGATCAACATGATGAGTTCTTTCTTTGTTCCCTACAAAGTCTTCAAGACGACTCTCATCAGGGACTTTTTCATTCCCACTCAACGCCACAGCAAGTTTTGGCTTTTTACTTCGGGAAGTTTCCCCCCCAGAGTGATGGTGAATTCTTCTCTCGAGATTATCCTTAGAACACCCGTCCTTACCATGAAAATGTGTTTGCAGGGGCTTTGACTTCCCATTCGATCTTTTGGACGTTTCACGAATCAACCTTTTCCGCATCTTCGCGACAGACCATTCGCCATCCTTAACGGCCTTTTTTCGGTTTTGGCGTCCAGCAAAAAAGTCTCTTGTTACGTTCCATAGATCGGATAAATTTGGATTCTTGTGGACGTAAAAGCGCCTCAACATTTCACGCCTTTCACAGTTACTGCAATCCACGACAGCTTTGGCAAGGTCGACTTCAGAGACAAATCCGAACGCGTTCGACATTTCCTGAAAATGTTGCCGACGGATTCCACGAGGAGTCGAGCCGATAAATACAGTGCTGTTTCCAATTCTCTTTATCGTGGTGTCATTGTCCCGCGCGGATTGATTTGATCTAAAATGAAACAGGAAAGATTGAAAATTTTTCTCGCTTTCTTCATTGTGACGAGTGATTTTATCAGAAGCCTTAACATTTCACTATTGCGGGAAAAAAAAAAAAAGAAAAATAATTGACGTAAGATACCACAGAGAGAATAACCCTTCTTTGCACAATCACACTTTAGAGAAAGATAAATCTATGTAACCTTAGGATGCCTAACAGAAGTTAGTCAAATTTTGTCGTTCGCAATCCGTGTCCTTGTTTATCTCACTATACAAATATTTCAAGGTTTCTTCTCAAGTTGTAAGGAAGAAAAGACGAAAAAGTTCGAAAGTTGCGAAGTGGGTGGGTGTCGTAACCAAGCACAACAATGATGACCGTGACAAGAAAACCAAACTCGAGAAAACATGTTCCTCTTAAGCAACTTAAAGAACTTCACGCTTGATTTACCTGTCACAACATTACATTTTTGATTGGTTCAAATAAAACATGTGAGCATTTTGGAACCCATTGAAGTGTTTTTTGTAGTACGTAAGGCGCGCAGAGTAGCGTGATGGAGTAATTTTGTGGAGTATATAATAAATAAAAAATCGTATGAACCTGCTCGTGCATTTCGTGATTTATGGGCACGAGTGATGTTTTGAAAGTTCTCAAATTGCACTCGCCTACGGCTCGTGCAATTTTGAGAACTTTCAAAACATCACTCGTGCCCATAAATCACGAAATGCACTCGCGTTCATACGATTTCCTATACTTATTCTAAACAAGCCAATCTGATTGGTTGTTGGTCGTTGGTTGTTGTTTTTTAGAAAAAGATGCAAATTAGAGCAAAAAATGGTGCTATTCGTAAATAAATTGCGCCGTTGAGAGCCAATCACATTGCAAGGATCACCAGTGATTTCTAAATGGATATAATAAATTTATAATTATAATAAACATTTTTCTATAACAGTCTCTCACGAAATTATACCTGTGCGGTATTGATTGACTGGGTTGATTAGTCTCCATTTCCGGTCGTTGTGCGCGCCAAAGGGCTTCTGGTTGCTTGTCGTGACTGCCCTCACCAAGATCATCACTTTCATCGCTGGCCTGAGTACAATGATGATCAAATTGTGGAACGAAATTTTGAAGGGATTGAAACAAGGATACAGAGCAACGCATTATACCTTACGAGGTTATCGTTAAAAAATTTCTCACGAAAAATGATACGTTGACTTAACGAACATGCTAGGCCAGACGCTTTTTACATCACAAGATGCAAGATTATGAAAGAAATTCAAAGTATTGGCTTTGCTGCTGCCAAAATATTTTCTCGAATACACTTAAGTTAAATTTATCTAAAAAGGAAAAAAACTCAGAAAATTATAATGCTGATTTTACCAAAAAGCGCGGAAACACGGGTGCAAAGCTAGGGAAACTCTGTAAGATCCCCCGCGCAGATCAACGTGGATCCAGCGACAAGCTTGGGGAATTAATTTATTCTCTAATTTTCGTTGATCGGAAAAGATATCCACGTGCCCTTGGGAATAAAAATCATATTGAAGACATCTCTCATCCATTTACATTGTTAAAATGGCATACAAACTGATCTAGGGCAAAGAAACATTCCGGGTGCATACCTCCCAGGCGGGAAAACAATTTGCTGGCTGCTGAGAAAACTGCTTGAGCTCAAACACATCTTGTAGTGCCTGTTTTGACATGTGATTCTCTGCTTCACTTGGTCCGACGACATGCCGATTGGCGTGTGTGTAATGCACTCCACATGATTCTGCGGTGAAAACAAAAAACAAATTAAAACAAAAAGTAAAACAAACGAAGAACTGACAAATAACGTCATGGCGCTTAGTAGAGCTACATTACGTCTTGTGAGTCTTTAGGAATTTGGCTACAATTTTTGTATTCAATGTCTTATTTGCCATCCTTATTAATTTTTTTCATCGTTCACTCGTCCATTCCTATTTATCACCTCTGTGATGTTTTTCCATTTTGCAAACTAATATTTTTTGTTCCCTCTTAGTTGATGGTGGTTTTGAACGTCGTTCAAAAAAAACCCAACATACTGGTATTGTGATTCGGCGTCTTTGACAATGCTTGTTGTTCCTGTACAACTTACCCAGAATTTCTGCCACCGTGTTTTCTTTCCTTGCTTTTTTTACCTCTCTTACAGGATGGTTGTCGACCCTGCTGTTGTAGTTTTTCTGTCCTGTATATCTTATCAATAAGAAAAAAAAAAAGTAAAGTCAAAATTACTTTACTTATCATGGCTTTAGGGGCTCTAGAGACAACTCAATGACGACTGAAAAGCGCCGAAAAGCTGCCAAAAAGTTACAGCCGTTTAAAAATTTTTTTGAAAGGGGACGGGGAGGGGGTGAGTGTAAGGGGGATACTGCCCCGCTCATTTCAATCCCTCAAAAGGTTTGAAAACGGGGGTGGGGTGGGGAGCGTATGAGGAGGATACTGCCTAAGAGCTCATTTCAATCCCTCAAAAGGTTTAAAAATGGGGTTGGGTTGGGGAGTGTATGAGGGGAATACTGCCCAGGTGCTCAATAAGACGCCCGTCATGTTACCTATCAATTTCACCTCAAAATGAAAACTATATTGAATGGATCAAGGACAAAATTCACTTCAAATGAAGACAGAACGATCGATGGCACTTGATAAAGAAAACTCAATGAAGTAAAGCCGGGTCAAGCTGAAACAATTTCGATACAATAGGTTTGGTTCGGATTCCCTGAACTAACAGGCGGATGCATGAACTCTCACCTTCGAAATTTCCCTTGACCATCTTTAAGTACAGCTTTCGCCGACATCTCTGCATGCTTCCTCTTTCTGAAAAATCGTGCTGATTGTTTTCGTTTACGCTTGAAGAACAAGCCTTCGTTGGAGTCATCTTCTCCACTTGACGAAGACGTTCTGGATGAATTCCTCATCTCACTTTGTTTCTTCTCTTTACTACATGATCCTTGGTCGATTGAATCTCCCGCACAGATTGTATTGGTTATTATCGATTTAGATCCACGTTTACAACTCGGAGTAGGATGGATAACATCGGAACTTTCTTCCTCGATCGAAGCAGGAATTCTCGTGCAGGAAACGCTTGCTTTTTCTTTGACTTTCGTGAAGTTATGCAATGAGCTATTTGCTCCGTTATCGTCTTCTAATCCCAGGAACAGCTCAACAGATACGCACTTCCTCGTTTCAATTTTTTCCAGAGAGCTCTTAGGTTTCGTATTTTTGGAGACAAACTTGTTCTTATGAGTTTTCGTTTCAAGAAAATCGTCATTGTCATTTGAACACAATTGACTGTTGTCAAATTCGTGAAGAATGCCTTTCTCATCTTCATGACTACCCTTACTTTCCATTCTTTTGAAGGAATCCCCGTAGTGTTCAGCAAAACCGCTATGGTCTTCAATGAGTTTATTCTTCAATGACATACCTTTAAAACGGTTCTCAGAATATTGTTTCTTTGAAGTGATTCGAGATGACGTCCTTTGCTGATCATCAACAAATTGTGACGCGAGTTCTTCAATGTTATAAGGATCGTCGTGAACTTTCAGGTTTGCAGAGCTGTTATTGTCCTAAAAAAGAAAACATATTTTGCTTCATAACGAATAGACGCAAATCGAGGAGACGTGCTTTAATTTTTGACGGTTTCGGATGAATGGAGGGCATCAACAAAAAAGTGACTTAATATTCAACGCCACTTCTTTCTGTTACCTCCCCCTCTAAGGCATTTTCCCATTCCTTGAAGTTTGTCAACTCATATTCTGCAACTTTATATCCAGCTTCTAGTTCCTCTGTTCTTCTGATGATATCTTTGGACAAACTGGCACCTTCAGCACGGTAAGAGAACAGATTCTCGAGTCCGAACAGCTCGCCTTTCTTGTCCTTGTCACCTTCAACACCTGTAAAGTATCGCCTCTCGTTTGTTCCTCCGACCGCCATACTGGCCAGTTGCTACATCAAAGGAAAGGAGACTATAATTTGTACTGACTTGCGAATTAAAGACGCTGTACCTTTGTGATTACGAGCGTTGGGGCCGAGCTATTGTGTTGCGGTCTTGAGCAAGATATTGTACCTTCACAACCCTTTCTCCAACCAGGGTTATCACTAGGTTTATTTTTTTATACTTGAGGGGGGTATCACCAAGTATGCTTTTTGCCTGTCTGCAGGAAAAAAATTGGGAGGACCCACCAACAAACGCCATATAAGGGAAAGTAACCTGCTTGTAAACTTGTCGAAGATACATCATTTCTTCGATTGTCCCCAAAGATATTAAGCGATAGACCTTCACATCTCTTCGCTGTCCAATGCGATATGCCCTGCGAAAAAAAAAGGACAAATTCTACCACTTGGGAATCATAGACGCCACAAGTAGCACAAAAAACCTGTCCGATAGTAACTCTTGGATCAGAAACTGCCCAAGGCCGAAATCAAATCCAAAAGTAAAGTTGTTCTTTAGTTCGCCTCAGGCTGTCAGCTGATTTTAGCTGGGAGTTATCACTGACTGCTTGTCACCCATTTCATGTGCTATGATTGTCTGCCGTGATTACTTTGCTTTCAGCCCAGTCTAAACTGCTCCAGAGCAAACATGCCATCGAATACATACATACTTTATTGTTACCTCCCCAATGGGGCTTTTCAGGGACAATTATTTAAATTACAAAAAGTTACTAATAACTACACAATTAAAATTAATTAAATTTAAGAAACATTTACAACATTATCTAAACTTTGTAGTCGAGAAAAATACTAAAAATAAATGAAGTTTAGGGAGTATTTACAAAATTGTCTAAAAGCTTATTCTTTAAGATACGTTTAAAAACTTGAACCGAACGGCTTGATTTTAAAAAGGGATCTAAATTGTTTCAAAGTCCAATAGTTCTGTAATAAAATTTTCTTTGTCCTGAGGCTGTTTTAAAAAGAGGTATATTAAGCTTTTGGCCACTCCTAGTTGTACGCTAATCATACTCTAAATCTAAATAAATCTAAATACCTGTCCTGTGCCTGCAAGTCACTGGACGGATTCCAGTTGGGGTCAAATATTATAACAATATTAGCTCCGGTGAAGTTGAGTCCCAGTCCTCCCGCTTTAGTCGAGATAAGACACAAAAAGATATTTGGGTCGACGTTAAACTCGTGTACCAAACGGGTTCTGTCTGCAGGCTTGGTTCCTCCGTCCAAACGACTGTACACCAGTCCTTTACTGATTACAAACTCCTCTAAGATGTTAAGCAGCTGAAACAATGTTATAGAAAATACATCCTTTGGATATACAGCTTTTATGTTCTTTCGGAACCTGGAACGAACTCATACATTTTTTTCCTGATCAGCACTATGGTGTTGTGTTCTTGGACAAAATATTTTACTATTACAATTCCTCTCTCAGTCAAGGAGAAAACGCAAAACAGGAAACTGGCAAACCGGTACAGAGGGAGGCAGATGCATGCTGGACTGGCATCTTCTAGGTTTACCAGTCACTTTGAATTGTAGAAACGGGGAAAAGCTCAGGAAACTACAGGCACATGGGCCTTTGTATGGTCCGTCATTGATGAGAAAAGCCCGTTTTTTTATTTTCTTTACCCATATTTCAGCGGATGAATGTAAATAACCAAAAGATGAATTTGACAAGAGGAGAGTTGAAGCTAAATTAATTTGCTGTACTATATGATATCCATCCATTAACCTTGACTAGCTTTCCGATATTCCGAACGAATTATTCCACTAAAGTGGCATGAACAGCATTCTTACGATACCTACCTGCGTGGATCTTGAGAAGAGAAGTAGTTTGCTGCGTTCTTCTTGAAAAACCTTCATCAATTTTTCAAGTACCTTCATTTTTCCACAGTACTTTGGGTCTGATAAAAGTTCAAACGACGATATTTCTGTGCATCCGGAAAATTCTGGATATCTTGCGAATACACGCAAACAAAGGTCTTTAGCCTGCGAAAGGCAAATCAAGCAAAACGATTACTTAACCTTTACTCTCAAATCGTATGAGTTAATTGTGAGAATGAGAGGACCACTCTAAAATCCCACCACCTCGACGATTTGATCACTTTAAACACCTTAAACAGCCCTTCCCTCCGTAAAACTTCTGAAAAAAAAAATCAACTGCAAAGCCAATTATAGTAGTTACCACAGTTACCGCAGTTCACATATATGATTTTCAGATATTTACAGTCAATGATTCGACACTTCAAGGGTTTATTACGGACTAACATAATGACCAGCTCCCAGTTGGCTTGTTAGCTCAGTTAGTAGAGTAGTACACTGGTATCGCAGAGGTCATGGGTTCAAATCCCGTACACGCCTTAACTTTTTCAGGCCTTATTTAGAATAAATAAGGCCCGTTGATGGTACTTCTAAGTTAGGCCATTAGCGGTACTAGCCAAAAAGGGTAGTGAATCGTCTCTAAAAATATCACAAGAAGATAGATGGTTTTCATGTTAACATAAGGTTTTTTAAAAATTGTCCAAGGTGAGGGTTGAAAACTGCTATGAGACCCTGCCATCAGTTCAGTTACCCACTTGTCACCTGCAGTCTTATCTAGCTGCCACCTGCAGTCTTATCTAGCTGCCACCTGCAGTCTTATCTAGCTGTCACCTGCAGTCTTATCTAGCTGTCACCTGCAGTCTTATCTAGCTGCCACCTCCAGTCTTATCTAGCTGTCACCTGCAGTCTTATCTAGCTGCCACCTGCAGTCTTATCTAGCTGTCACCTGCAGTCTTATCTAGCTGTCACCTGCAGTCTTATCTAGCTGTCACCTGCAGTCTTATCTAGCTGCCACCTCCAGTCTTATCTAGCTGTCACCTGCAGTCTTATCTAGCTGTCACCTGCAGTCTTATCTAGCTGCCACCTGCAGTCTTATCTAGCTGCCACCTGCAGTCTTATCTAACTGCCACCTGCAGTCTTATCTAGCTGTCACCTGCAGTCTTATCTAGCTGCCACCTGCAGTCTTATCTAGCTGCCACCTGCAGTCTTATCTAGCTGCCACCTCTAGTTAGCAACATGCCCCCTATGTTCATCTGCCTTCCACTCAGTTATCTGCTCATCATCTACAGTAATGTACCTTTTCTTGCTGGTCGAGTGATTGTCTGACGGTTGGGGCCAACAAAGCGGCGTGATTTGCAACTTTTAACAGCAGTTGAAAGAACCGCATGGCTGCGGTCTTGATGTCCTCAAACTCTGAGCTGAGCTTTTCGCCAAAAAAGAAAAAAAACAAAAAAACAAAAAAAAAAAACAATGACGAAATTAATTTTTTAAAGTTTTTTTTGACTCCAACTTTTTTTCTTACTGTTGGTGCTAATAACTGCAAAAACTCATCGATCGAAAGGCCTTTATAATAAGTTTAAGTTTCGGTGCTATTTTGAAATCCGGACCCTAAAAAATCAAAAAGGCTGGTGGTAAACAAGTATTAAAGAAAGCTTAATGGAACTTAAAACACATCCCATCGGCCTTGAACATGGGAACACGCGAGTTTACAAGATATTTAGTGAAAGTTTAAGTTTTCCGTCCGATTGATTGCGAAGATGGTGCGAGTTACGTGAGACAAAAAGGCAAAAGTAAAGAGAGTAACAGCATAGCAAAGCGAAATCAATGTAATCACCCATTAGCTTCGACTCAGTTGAGAGTTTTGTCAAAACTAAGCAACTTAATTTACCGTGTAACAACATTTGCCTCTATCCTGTCCACTGCCGCAATCACAAGGAAAGTTTTTCTTGCGGATCAGTTCAACATCCGGGTTCTGTAAAAGGGTTTGGTAAACATTTTCCTGGAAAGGCGTTAGCGGGCAGAACACCACTGCCTCGTCTTAAAAAAAAAAAGAAAAAAAAAAGAAAAAAAAAACGGTTGAAAAGTTTAGTATAGCCCAAAGCAGAAGTATCAAAATCGTTTGGAACATTTTAGACAACTTGTAAGCAAAAGCAAAGGTTGATCCAAGCACTGTTTAGCGCGAACTGTCCACCATCACAAAAATACTGAATTTAGGGTGTGAACACGAGCTAAGTGATACAAAATGCCGAAACTACTTAGTTATCGCACGTCACTCCTGCATTTTAGCAAGTTTCTATGAGCGTCCCCATTACCCATTTATACTAGGAGCCAGATCTCTCAAAACGGAGTCCAGCACGCTAGCCAATGGGCCAGCGCCTCTTACCTCCAGACAAAAATGCAAAATTGTTTACTCTTGTAAACGCAGCAACTTCCCAACCAGCAACGTGACCTAGGTAAACTCTTTCCCGCACCTTACCCTTTTTAGGTAACTGATCTGCAATGAGCGCTTTCGTTCTTCGAAGAAACCATCTTCCAATTCTATCTTGAAGATCTTTTGATCCTTGGTAAAATATAACAAGTACAAGATAAGATTGAAAAGGGCAGCGGTGAAACTCCTCGGGAGACTTTTTGGTTGTAACAAAGAAAATTGATGCCAAAAATAATTTTAAACAAGAGGTAAAAAAAGTCTCTCACCAACCTCTTCTTACCTTGTTCCTTAATTAAGATTTTTTCCATTGATTTTAATTTTAGTCTTTGCGTGTCATTTTTTTTTATATTTTATTTTCCCGAAAATCATTTTGAGCGACAGGAGGCCTCCTTGGGAAATATTTGTTTGCTACTTAATGGTCAATCCCGTCTTCAAAAACCCTTCGATAAAGAACGTGTCGGAGTGTTGGAAATAAGATTGTCAATTTTGATCTCGTTAGATCGGGCGACACGAGAAGATCACGGAAAACTAACTGAACACTTGTACCGACTTAGTCACTCAAGTTGCGAAGAGCGAACTTGATTTAGGTTTTATGGAGTCTTCTTTTATCAAAAGCCCATCAGCACAAAGTCTGTCGATGCAAGCAAGCAAGTAAGACTTGATGATTGTCCTTGAGCCGTAAATATGGGTTACCGAAGAAAATAATAAATAAAAATAATAAGCCGCATAAGTATTAGAAGACATGAAAACACTCCAGGGAGTAGGCAAGGGATAAAGGTAGGCTTCTCTTTGCTTCAGCTGTTGCGTCATCGTTTCAAGAAGCACGTATTACCCCTTGAGACTTTGAAAAATTCAGTGAAATGTGTCTTACATCTATAGACTCTAAAGTGCACGCTAATTTAACCAGGAAAACGAGATGACTGCACAGCTTTTAGTTCCTCATCAATGTTCTACTGCTACCCCCAAAACTACAAAAGTTAGTGAACAGTAAATGGTTTGAACTTCATGGGGGTTACATGTGATAGTGCAATCTGATCGTCCGAGTAAGTGTAATCCTCAGAAAGACTGTTGGACCACCTAACCGACCGATCGAAATACAACAATCTCGACCAACTTACGCCACTTTCGTCTTACACCCAACATCATCACGGCAAAACCGACAAATCAAATGAAACGAACTGGATTTAGAACATTTGGCTAACCACAACCATTCACGTGACACTGATGATAACTTTCGTTCAGGTTGTCGAAACGTCTGTCACCACTACCGGCAACAGTCCTTCTCAGGACTACACTTATCCATACGATTAGACTACATTATCACAAAACTTAGTGTCCTACAGAACTTTCGGTTATCGCAAAACGGATTTTTTCCCCCGCAAAATACTGAATATCGCAAATTCGCCAAATAAGTGGATTTCCACAAAACTTCCGGGCTAAGTTGCCACCGCCAAGAATATGAGGTGTAAACTTGAAGAACTCACTCTTTCTTCCCACAGCCAGTTCTCTTTTAGTTGCGTCAAAAGTCTGTCCTTTCAGCATGGGTTTGCCAAACTCCTGATTGAAGTTTTTGGCTGATCCCAGACTTCCTGGGTTTGCCCAGTCCAACACACACCAGAACTCCTCCAGTTTATTCTGAAGTGGGGTCCCTGTGAGGCCATATCTGATGTACAGGAAATCAATTATACAAAACAATGTTGAACTACAACGAATTGTTCAGCAAGACACAGTACGACATCCTTTCACACTATTTTTCTCAACTATAATGTCGGCAAATAATCAAATTGTTGGAGCATAATTTAATGCTCAACAAATTGGCATTGCGTCCCAAGATCTCATCAATAAAGGTGACCCACTTTGAGGAAGTACTAAGACAATACCACCCTACAATGAAGGTCCCTTGACAAAGTGTGACAGAATTATCGATATTTGTGTGATTTCAGGTAACGGTAATTCCTAGGTGGGGTTACCTTCTTTTCACATTGAGAGCTTTAGCAGCCACAGTTATTTGAGCCTTGGGATCTTTGAGGCGATGGACTTCGTCCATGATTACAGCTAACCATTTGAGTCGGTTCACATCAGTCTAAAGAGAAAGGAAAAAGAACTTAACTATACTTTCCACGCTTTTGTCGGTTTGGAAATTCAGATTGCTTCTCCAGCCATTCCGATACGGAACTAGGTTTTCACATTCCAACTGTTGCGAACCGAATTCTTACTTCAATTCCGCCTCAATAAACAAATTGAGACACTTCACTTTAGAACTTGGCAAGTTCCTAAATATATAACCTAACGTTATTTCGTGCGTTTCATGAAAGAGCTATTGAAAACTGCTAGACAACAGAATAACATATAAAACATCTCTCTCGATTAAACGAGCCCAACAGCAGTAAGAATACGCGAAATTGAAACTAGTTTCTGAAAGGATGGGGAAGATTCACACGGATTGCAAACGCAGGAGTTAAAATGTTTCGGCTTCATTATCAAGAGAAGGGGCTTCATGAACTCACCAAGTAATTTCTCATGGTCTCATATGTAGTCAGAACTACATCTAGTCGCCCTCTAGAGGCCCTATCTAAAGTGGACTCCCTAGTGGTACCATGAAAGAGACCCGTCTTAAAATGACCCCATGTTTCTAGCTCATCCCTCCAGTTGAACATGACAGAGCCTGGACTTACAACCAGAAAGGTACCTGTCTCTGGGTTGACTTTTTCCTATTTGAAACAAAAAAAGATAAAATAAAGAGTTACAAGAGACGTCACTAAGCTGAATACATCCAAATATATCATGGCATTTTTTTTTTTTGGCAAAAAGGCGAATAGATCCATCGAGAAATACGTTATATTATGAACTCTGTTGTGGGATAAAGAAAGTAACCAGCAGGCTCAACCTTACAATCTCTCTTTCGACACGTCGAACTCAGACCTTCGACACACACTGAGCTACAGAGAACTCACTGGTGAACTAGGTCATTGATTAGGTTAATACAGAGAAGAAACTTCAAACACGTAGCTTGGATCAGGAATATCCACAGCATCGTGCGAGGTTTATGTAACAAATAAAAGGAATCATCAAATGACCCGTAAGACTAATCCCGTAGAAAAAACATACTTAAAGCTGACGAGTGTGGGGCCGAACAAGTTAACGTGAGCCGGTTCAGAAAAAAGGCTGTCCAGCCCTGCTCCAACACGGCTCTTTTACAGTTTTTGAGAATCTATAAATTGCGGATTACAGCTAAAAATATAATAAATGGGAAAATGTGTATTGCCATTCGAGAAATTATAAGTTCTCGTTCTTACTCGGGAAAAAAGAGCTTTTTCCGTAAAATCTTTTCAGTAGTTGTCCAGTGCGTGCCCTTCTCTTTTATATAAGTACGTCCTATAAGGGTTGGAATAAAATTTTGAAATTTTCAACACTAACTGATCATATGATAAAATGCTTTCTGACCGAGTGGGAGAGCCGGACGGGAAATATTTGGCTCTCGGTCATGACGTACGGACCTCGTTGCACTCGGTCTGCAAGTCATAACCTTTAAAGTCTATAATGTTGGTAAAAGAAGTATATCTTCATGTTTAAAATCCAGATTGATACTTCAGTGATTAGAAACGTTGTAATGGTTGTTTGTGGCTTTTCTTCAATACTGTTTCACTTGCGGTCGCTGATTTCTGTCGGAATGGCAGTCACTATTCACCAGCTAAAAGTTAGATGGGTGCACCCCAGAACATTCTGTGATGTATTTTGCGAGAAACCTTTTTGCGAACGCATCCGTAATAAATTTGTGCTGTTTGATCGCTTCATGGCTGTTGTGAAGCCTTTCAAATACTTGAGTTTTATGAAGAATCGCCACTTCATTCAAATGATTTCCTTTTCTTGGATGATACCGATCGCAGTTGAAAGTAGCAAAACAGTTACGCTTCAGCCATCAGGTTTTTTTTTCAAACCTCAGGAAAAAGCTGCTGCTTTAATGATGGGAATAATAGCAGGGATATTTCTTCTTTGCAAAGGAATTTATTTGCGTTGCATCATATTATTTAGTTTCGCTTCTGGTCAAAATTCATGCAATGATCACGAATTTATAATCCCTATCTTGGTGTTAAAGGTCTGCTGTCAACCCCTTGGCTTACTCTTACTTCAAGAAGGACATTTTAAAGAGATTAAACAACACATCGGTTGTGTCTTGTTGACAAAAAGGATCCTTTCGAACGCAGAAGGCAATTGAGAGCAAAGGCACCAAACTCGAGCAATCAGAACTAATGGGAAGACAAGAATACAGCGTTAAGCGCGAAAAGACTGAGGAATCTAACCGATGAGAACACAAATTAATTTAACGCAATCGACAGTAAGCGGAGGAACATTAACAAATGCTATCGGTAAAATATAAAGTAGGCGCGTTTTTTAACCAATGAGGGAGAGCATTGTAAAGAAAATCAAAGGGAATTTGTTTAGATTTTCACCCTTCAGTCTCAGATTGATCGAATCAGTTTTTGCATATCCCCTCTATTATATGAAACTAACCTGTTTTTCACGCGCCATTCTATCCATGAATTTGCGGAATATATCAACTTTGGTTCCAGTTTTACCCAAAATGGCAGAAATGAAGGAAATAACCTGGAAATTATAAGTGAAATGATCTATTATTAGTCATACGATCGGGACACTAAACAAGGCTTGTTTTTTTTCTTTTATAAAACATGCCTGGAAAATAAACGGGTACCTTGTTCTCTTGCTTTTATAAATATTTTGGGAAAAAATTTGCGAAATTTTAAGAGGGAAACTGAAAAAGACTTGAGTCTTCAATATTACTGAGTAAGTAATATTGCTAAGATTAAGATTCCTAAGATTTTGGACGGATAATATTGAACTCCAACAATCTCAAAAAAGGGTGAGAATTTCCTAGCACAAAATTTGACTTTAACTTACGTCTATCTGCAAAAAAAATAAGCTCACAATCAGTTTGCAATTCTCCCTTCTAAATCCACTACGTTTCTTTGTGAAGACAAACTAAACGTTTACCACTTCTGTGGGTGGAAGCGTGCGGCCAAATCGAATAAAAGAGCGAATTGCAATGTTACTTTATATAATTCTTGGGGAAATGGAAAGCAATGCTTTTACCGACCAAGTTGGTACTTCTCCTTGCAAAACCTATCTGCAATCACCTTTGTTTCGTGAGCAAAGTTTTACTACAGCTTTATGCTTTTGATTTCATAAATTATACAATCAGGAGAATATACACGGCACATTTATTTCCTCCAAGGCAATTACAGTGTAGCTAAACACTAATTCAGTAACGCTGATGATTTCATTTTCCAAAATTCAAATAAGAAATTTTCTCAAGAAGTTACCTCAGAGAATTAGGATTAGTTCAGCAATAAAAAACCTACCTGGTTTCATTATGTGATAAGGTAATTGAGGTAATTAAGATAAACTTCTTACCTGAACCGTTTTACCCAAACCCATGTCATCTCCAAGAATGGCGCCAGTATTTTCAGAGTAGTGTTGGAACAAGAAGCTGACTCCATCTCTCTGATATTGCCGCAAATAGGAATTGATTGTTGCTGGAATCTGCTGGAAAAAATCTTCGTTAGTAATATCTGGTAAAAGATGTGCAATTGTCTATTCAGATGAGGGAAATAATGGGGTCATGAAATTCTAACCTGTGTATCTGGAGATTTTCAGGCTTTGATGGAATTAATGAATGTGGCATTACCACAAAAAGGGAAGATTCATTGCTCAAAATTGCCCAAAACAGCCAGCTTTAATGCCTCGTCGTTTACATAATTACTTTGCAAGGAGTATTAAGTACATGGTACAATAAGAAACACATTAAATCTGAAAATAAGGCATGAGGCATAACAAGATCTCTAAATTAATTGAGCCAATAACAAAAAGTTCAAATCTGAAGAAGCACTGTTTATTACTTAATTTTGTTGATGCAGCACCAGAACTGGTTAAATCTGAGAGGAAAATTTTGTGGTAAAAAAGAAATTCCCCTTAGCTCTTAAAAATCATGAATACTGTTGATTTAGAAAGAGAGGGAAGTGGAGCAAACTTTTTTGGTAGAAAAAACCAAGCTTCTGTTAGCATAAATAAAAAGGTAATTTGTAGCAGTTTTGTAATTTCACCAAATTTTAAGTTATGACCAGCATATTAAGACTTAAGATGGAGTGTGTATAATTCAAGGGTATGTATGTGAGGTTTGTAGTCTGAATTTAAATCAACCTGGCCCCACATGCTCAGCCAAATTACTAATTACTTCCATATTTGTCCTTCACTTGTTTCTCTTACCACAACCAACGGATGGTTTAATGTCATTAAAAAGAAATCTTAAGTATTCCCTGCCTAGTGGAAGAATATTGAAATGAACACCATCCTGGCAACAGACAGACAAGTATTATAAACAAATGTCCACTTAACTCCAAAAAACAATAATAAAATATTTAAATACCTAAATAAAACTCCACAAAACTAAGGGGAGTAAAGTAAGAAAACAAAAACTCCTTAAAAGGTCAAAAGCAAACCTTTGTGGGTTCCAAGTAATAGTAAAGTAGTGCTCACCCTTAGAATGAGGTACATCTAGGGAAGAGAGGTACAGTCTGAAGGAATTGAGAGGGTGATTATTTTGGAAAGGAATTGCCCATGGATGGTGCAGTACTTTCAGTATTTAACAAATGGATTTTGGGATCTGACTTGATTGTATATAATATTTTCTCATGATTATGCTAACCTGAATCACTGGAACAACTCCAGGTTTGGACAAAATAAAAGGTACTGAAGGACCCAAGGCTGGCTCTGTGAAAGATGGTCTTATCATGTCTTGATCATCAAAACCTGTTATAATAACATGAAAATACAAGTACAATAATTGTTGAATATTCCTGAACATCAGTAAGCATTGCATACATGTATGCATTATTGACCAAGTGGGAGGTCAAGATGACTTGATATTGACCAAGTTCTTTTCCTTACATTTCTATGTACCAAGATGAAGTCAACGTCCATAAAAAGGCCAAAAGAGAACAAGGCTAATATCCAGCCATCTTAAACCAACAAGCTTGGACAATAAAGGATTTTTCATGTTGCAAAAAGATTTTGCTTTAGTAAAAATCAAGAATGACTTGTTTAAATGATTTGAGAGCCAGGAAAGAAAGACAACTGTGTTTGTAGCACAATAAACCCAGGAACCTTGTTCATGTTTTCTTTGTTTTGACTGTCTTCTGCCACTTTTTGTGACTTCATCGCTGACATAGTCTGACAGTTATGAACTTTCAAGTCCCCTCCATGCACTTTTTTTTTTTTTTTCGCAATGGATCAGAGCAGGCAATACCAAGTGGGGAGGATGGGCCCATCTTGCCTACCAATCAAAACACAGCATTTACTTCATACTTCCCATGGGCCTTGCTACAAAATATAAGAGTCTGTAAGGGATTATTCACAACTGCTCATAGGAAATAAAAATACCTAACCTTATCTCCACAGAGCATTTCTTGTTGTCTGACCGCTTACTATGTTGAAAATAAGCAATTTTAGCAAGTTATCCATTTCTAGGTTTACTACTCCTAAGAGAAAGTCTTTCTTTCAAAGTAAGTGGTTAGAAAACAAGCTGTGCACTATGAAAGTAAGGTGAGGTATTTTCATTGAAAGATTGACTGTATTTTCAAGTTTTATTCCAAAGAGCAGTTGTAAATATTCCCATACAAACTCATATTTTGGCCATGACTCTTATTCTGCATGACTATCATCTCACAGCTGGAGCTTGGGCTGCCTGTGCACCACCAAAATATAGCACTCAAACCAGGCATGAAGGTACTGATAATTTCATTGAATAGAACTACACTGATAGCTGAGAAGGTGACTTAAGACTGAGATTGAAACTTTCTCCTCATTATTGTTAAATTCAGAGGAATGGGAGGGGTGTGGTAGGTGTATCAATGAAGGCATTTCATTCTCTTCCTACATGACTAATGTAGATTTTATGTTAGATGCATTGTCCATGAAGGATGAATTTATCACCAAAGATAAGGATAAACACAACAAACACTAAACATAAAGATAAACAATGAGCCAATCCAGTTGTTTATTCTGAATAGCTTACCATCTGCTAGCATTTCATTATCCACATATGACTCATTTCTCTCACTGATTTTCAATTTAGCCTTCTCAAAACTTGTATTTCCTGGATTTGATGTTGAGCTTGGTGATTTAGCAGAATTTCTGCTGTGTTTTATTATTTTGCATTCCTCCTCTACATTCTGAATGACAGAGGAACTGTTTTTCTTGTTCACTGAAGTCCTCCTACCAAGTGATTTGTTGTTAGACTGGACAGAAACATTTAATTTCCCTGTTAAAAATATATTGAATTAATAAATAATTTATAATGAGTAAAACCCAAGGGCTTCAATGCTCTTAAAGCTTTAACTCAAAGGTGAGTGATTGACTTGGTTCCCACAAGGTACTAAATACAGTAAAACCCTCACTGAGGGGACACCTCAAGGACCAGAGAAAGTGGCCTCTGAATATGGAGACTAACTTGGTCTTTTGCTCATGATTAACTAAAAAACCCCAACCCGTTATTATTTTGGCTTGGAAACTCCTGTAGATGTCAATTCAAGCAGCCATATGATGTATGAAATAAATATGATTAACAGAAATGTCTGCAATCTTGTGTATACATTGATTTTTTGTTGGTGCTATACACAGTCACATAATAGAGTTTGCTGAGTACATCTTGGTAACTGGAACAACTAATTAAATCATATTTTACTGTTTCAAATCTTCTATTTTAATAGAGAGATTATTTCCATCTCTACAAAGATACCAAGGAACAATAGCAATTTTAGCTGCCTTGTAGACATGAGTGACTGGCTCAGTTGTCTCCTGAATGGAGGTCAACACCAGACTTTGAAACCCACAAAAAGTGTCCCTTTCCTCTGAATAGAGGTGTCTGTAATTTGTCATAAGTAAGAAACAAAAAGTTTATATGAACACTTTTTTGGACCCTTGTTTGTGTCCCATGAATGGAGGTGTCCCAAAGGACATGATCCTCCGTAAAATTTGGTGATTCTTACAAATGTTCTCATGCAGTACAGATATCAACATTTGTCTATCAACCATTTGAAACCTGTCTCATTATCCTTATAATTAGTCTTGTTTTTTTTCTTTCTTTATTTCAAATCTTGAAATAAACTGACTCTAGTGTAAAATGAATTGATTTCTTTAGGAATAATTGAACACATGATATTTTAAAAATTGCTACCTTGAAGTGTTCAAGAGATCAAAAAATTTTATTAGAATTCTCAGAAACAATTGTTTAAGAAGATTGTCTCTGGCAATTCCTTGAAGAGGACATGGATATTCTTCCAAGCTGGAAAATATAATTGTAACAATACAATACACATATTGTAAAATCAATACCTTTCCCTCTGCTCCTTGCCTTTGATTGCATATGATCTATTTGGCAAAAATGGTTTAAAACATTAAAAGGAAATGGATATTTAAACACCTTTCTCTTTAATTGGTCAATAATGACCATCTACAGTCAAGTACTGTACATCTACAATCAAGCTTATTTCAAATATGCTATCAATGACTTGTAAATATTCCCAACATTTCTAACTCACTTTTATCACCTCTCCCAGTTCTGGTCTGTAGATGTACAAGTTACATCAATCAAGACTAAAATTTGTGCTTGCAGGTCAAACATGAGATTGACAATTTCAATTCTACTAAACTCTAATAGAAAATGTGCTCTACAACTCTCTTTTGATTCAAGGGTGAAGTAGAAATATGACACCCTCTAAAAAGAGCACTGATGTAAACATAAGTTGCCTAACTACTGAAGACTGCTAATACCTCCTTTTGATCTCAAATCTGCCTTTTCCTGTTGAGGACTTTTGGTAACTGCTTCATAGTTGCCATACTTAAATCTAAGTAAGAATTGTAAACCACAGAACAATTTTTTAATTAATCTGTAGGTGCCCTCTGCATTCATTTAAAAGTTGATGTAATGAAACACTGTTTCATACAGGCACTTCATTGTTCAGGGGTCCTTACAGTATTTAATTTTTTTTTCAGATTAAGGCTTTATCTGTTAATTTTATCTTTAAGAGGGGGTGAGTAAGCAAACGGATCAGGGGATTCTGACAGTATTTTTGCCAGGATTCTGACAGAATTTGCAGATCCTGCTATTGCAGCAGTTTGCAATTTTCATCAATGTTTTGGACCAGCATCTTGTATTTTGCTTGTGATAAAGCTCAGCAATGATCAGAAATGTTTTATTGAAGATTTAAAACTAAACCAATGAAGTGCACTCTGGAGACAGTTTTTGTAACTGATTGCAAAGTGCTGCTCACTAATAGAGTTTGAAATTTTCTCTAAAAAAAAATGTTTAAAAAATTGTTTAAAAATGTAAAATAAAAGAGATAAAAAAAGTCTCCTTACAGTTGGTAGAAGGTCCTTTAAAAAGGGTGTGGACAATTTTTCAAAAATTGTTTAGCTAACACACAAAGCTCAAGGAACATGTACCTTTTTTACAAATCCCCGTGTCAGTTGCAAACAGCTTCAAATCACAGCCAATCTGCACATTTGCTTACTCCTATTCACTCCCTCATTAATGTTTCATTGGTTTTTTCATGTAAAGATATGCCTCTTTTATTGGTTTCAGCATGTTAAGGTCAGGTCTCACATAAACTGTGTCACTTTTACTTCTGGCAACAACTATATGACTTTAGGTTGCCAAATACTTATGTAGTGACTTTGAAAAAAGGTTGAGCTTAGAGGTACATGTATTACAATATTATTTTCTTAGAAATTACCCAATACCAACCTCATGGTTTCTTCAGCTTCATTTCCTTTCAGGTGAGTAAAGAATGTAGTGTCCTCTGTAGCAAAGGACTTAAAATCTAGAAAAGGGGCAGTTAATTTTACACATTTATAAAAATTTTCTTTCACAATATAATGACAAAACACTATTTAGGACAGAGTTTAGAATTCACTTTGAAAGTTAAAAAAAACATTTTAATTAAAAAATTCACAGAGTTAATAATAATATAAGCTTCTACGAAATGATTAAAAAATATTTCATTGCCCATGTGCACTTGTACAGTTGTAGCTAGCCATATGATCATACCTAACAATGACTTTTCCACGATTTTCCTTTGCAATAGATAATAGATCAGTTCCCAGAGGACAACAAAACAGTGGGAAATGCAATCAATTGCATGGTTTGGTGTTCTTACAAGATGTTTTTAACTTTCTCACTAATATTGTGCCAATCAATTCAAAGCTTAAACATTCCCCCTCCCCCTGGGTTACACATGGGCATATGACTGTCAGCCATGCCCAGGGGACAGGAATTTGAACCTTGAAGGAGTAGGATGAGGGACTTGAAGCAGAAGCATCAAGTCTTTCCAGCAGAATACAACTGTTTCATGTTTTGATATGGAGGTGTTTAAAGGTAATGAGCTCCCTTTGGCAGGTTAATGACTCAGAAGAAATGGTCTTTGATTCAATGACTAATTGATAGGTTAATAAAGACTTCAAAATCAATGGCCTACTTGTAGTTGCAATATGTTCTAAAATAAAGCCCAACAAACTGCCCCTAGTACACAAAAATAAGGCTTACATTATGTACAAATACTGACTTTCTATGTGAAATATTGTGCAGGACATGTGTCATATGAACTTCGTAATAGACCTTGCTGACCGTAGAGTCTGTTGCTCAGTGGTCGAGCATTGGAGCACGGAATCCAAAGGTCTGAGGTTTGATTCCTCATGGGGACAAAGAATTTTTTCTTTGTCCCATGCACGTGACAAGACAAAAAACATCTTTCTTATTTCTTTTCCAAGCCCAAAACTTACCATCTCTACTATTTCTACCTACAAACATTACGCTATCAACATTGCTGATCCTAGAAGTGTGCAGGATGCATGTCATATGAACTTTGTAAAAGACCTCGCTCACTGTAGAGTCTCTGTGGCTCAGTGGTAGAGCATTGGAGGGTGGAATCCAAAGGTCTGAGGTTTGATTCCTCATTCTTAAAACTCATCTTTTCTTGAGTATTGTTTTTCACTATTAAGTACCATGACTCACCTCAAAACATTTCCAAAGAAAAAGATATTTCAAGGAACAAAAAACTAAACAATAGAGGTTTGGGATAATTTTGGTTTCCTTATTTTTGCTCATTGTACTCAGAAAGTTTATTAGTGTACTGAAACTTGACCACCCTGTTCATCTAGCTCACATCCAATCTTACCAAACATGGGTCATTTTTCAATGGTAACAGGAGGCAGGAGGCAGGGTGGAAATGTGCATAGTAAGAAGTGGACCCTAAGATCTCTGTGAGAACCTTATTGTGTGCTGTAATAGTCAATGATTCCACAAGCTTTCTTTTAACCTTGACCAAAATACTCTGTAGATGCATTGTTCCAATGATCAAACAAACAGTTTCAGCCTCTAGAACCCTTGGAAAAAACTAATAAGTCAAATATGGGCCCTCAGTATGTGACTACCTATCATCACAGTATGTGACTACCTATCATCACAGTATGTGACTACCTATCATCACAGTATGTGACTACCTATCATCAATGCTTACTTCCCATAAACTATCACTTTCTCTGACTGTTGTTACTTTTCTTACAAAGTCGTCAAGGTCAAGGAATGTAATATTAGAGAGCCACAAGAGGCTAGTTTTAGAAATGTATATAATGACTGAAAAACAAACGACAAAAATTACCTCATACAATTAAATCGAAGAAATTTCAAACCTGATGTAGCTGTCGATAACCCTTCATCATTCAAGGCTGAGAAGTTTGCGCCATTGCCATTCCTCTCATCAACCTTAACATCGATGTGACTGATGTGACAAATAATGAGAATTGACGAACTTAACAAATGTAACTTCAGTTCTAATTATCGATCTTATTAATTTTTAAGTTGGAAAGTTTACTTAAAAAGATAGTTTTTTTAAAACCTCTGACTAACCCTCTTGTTTGAGCGTTGGGGTTGTTTACATTTTTTCCTGATTCAGTATCAGCTGTTTTTGAGTCTTCTTCATCTTCTGTTGAATCGTCATCTGTGGTAGATCCGTCGCCATCCATCTCTAACAGCTTTAATTTCTCATTTTGTTCAAATCTGGTGGACTTTTCATTGAGAGAAATTAAAAAATCCGCAGACGTTATTTTGCGTGCACAAAGGTTCAGTTTCTGACTTTTCGCGCCGCTGGTTTCTATGTGGTGTAAGGTGACGAAGAATGTCCAGAGGTGTGGTTAAACGCTGACCGATTTACTGTAACGCATTCTATAGATAAAGAGGTTATGTGTTGAGCCTACTACCTCTCAACTGTCTAAGGCTTAATACTTAATATTTGAATTAGGACTTCTGATTTTGTTGAGGCCAAATGCCTGCCGTCTAACTATCTAAAGTCAGATCCGAGAGCACTCTCGAGTTATACCGTATCTTCGAGGCAACTAACTTCATGAGTTCAGTCATGAAACTACCGATATGTAAAATGTGCAAAAAAAGAGGAAAAGGCTTACATTCACCCAAGTAAGGTTTCATATCTCAGAATCTTTTGCTTGCAAATTTTTACGCATTATTGAGCCATGGCCGCTTTGTGTCCGATTTTTGTCATGGTGAAAGTGTTAGCTAGTTCCATTGATAATAAGAAATGTGGACAACTCTCCAAAACTGATCCCTCCTCATCCTAAAATTACTCATGGCCTTTTTTGCATGCCTAATTGGCATTTATTCGAGGCCGGCATCGTATAAAATCATTTTTCGTCAGCTAGTGACATCCATTCGGTAAAAAAAGTCTCGAAAATATGCACAACAGAAACATGGCAACTGAAAGTTTCAATATCTGGCCTCTTTAATGGGATAGAACTGCATTATTCTGGCTTGTGATGTTTACAACCAGGAACTAGTACGTTCAAGAGCTTCACCCGATGTGTCATTTCTTCGTAAATTTCTGGTTTAAACACCTCATCAAATTGACTGATTCTGACTTTTATAGCTAATTTTGCTTTCATCTGCAGTGTTCAATTGAGGGCGGTGTTTTATCACAGGCGGACCATCGTATGTGTGAGTGGACATGTTTATAGATAAACAATAGTAATATGCAAATATTGGCTATGAATAAAAGACTGACTGGCCGTGATAGTAAGCTTTTTTTAAATTAACACGTCCAACCAACTGCACGATCCTCCCTCTGTTCTATTAATTTCTCATCTTCATACGGATAAGAGACAACCTCGAACCCAAGGTTCCCTCCCTTCCCCCTCAAGAAAAGTTAGGGAGAAACAGAGAGGATTCTGGAAGCTAGTTGGTAAATAAACGTATGCAGTGGCTTTCGCGTGTGCAATCATGCACGAGGCACAGCTGAATTGGGTATGAAGAATTTTTATTTCCTTCGATAGCATGTAGGGCGTTTTTATCTGTCGTAAAACTACGGACTAAGACTCCTGCATTCTGAATATTTAAACGACGTGTTAAATATAGTCGTAACGACAGTCTTTAAAAGTGCAACGAACGCAGAGGCAGCTAAAACCTTTTTTTATTGTCCCCATGGCAATGTTAATAAATCTAACTCATCTTTCAAATTGAAAAGACAATTTAAATAAGTCATGGCCAGGTTATAATTAATGTTTAGAATTCCCGAATGTTGGAAAAGAGCAGTTAACTCATGAACACATGAAATTCACGGCTTTGGTGTAAAACACAATCCTCCATCAGCTGATGAGATTCATAAATTTTGACGCAGCGCACGAAGTCTTTATTAAATAAGTTTTAAAGTTGTCGGAGGCTTTGCTAAGTTTCTTCCTCCTCGAGATCATGTGTGTCATTGTTCGTACTAGTAACAGATTCTCTGGCTTCTTGCCTCCATTTCATTCTCCTGTTTTGAAACCACACTTTGACCTGATTATCTGACAAGCCTAACATAGACGCTAACTGATGTCTATCTGCTTTTGTCAGGTATTTTTGAACCTGAAAACGCTTTTCAAGTCCCTTGCGCTGTAAGTTAGAAAACACTGCTCGTGTCCAGGGTCTTCTAGGCCTTCGCGACCGTGATTGTTCATGAATAGACTGTGTATAAGATTCTGAGGAAGTTGACGGATGTCTGTTACAGTTAATGAAGAGATCTGTGGAGAAAAAGCATAGATCTCTTCTCATTTCTATGATAAGCTAAATTACACATGCATTTTGATTGGCTGATGTTCTAACTTGTGATCTATTGGATGACGTTACCATTAACGATATTTTGCTTTTTTATTATGAAGAGCAGATTCCATGTTGCCGTAGGTCTGTAATAGGTCACAGAAGACGTTAAAATTGCGGTAAGAACATCAGTGACACACTCGGCTGCGCTTCGTGTGCCATTGTTTTGTTTTTACTACATTTTGACGTCATTTGTGATAAGCACGACAACACATAATATATTTGTTAATCGGATTAAATGAAAATATCGATGACGAGGTGTGTTAGGCCAAAATATCACATTTCGCTTCAATTAATCATCAAGCCTTTATAAATCCTTCTGTTTCCATGCGTTCTGACATATTTCTTCGACTCGAGTTAGCTGAGGATCCTGCTAACTAACTTCATAATGTGCAGCTTACCTGAAGACGCACAGTAGAGAGGAGAATTAGCACTGTGATTGCATTTGTAACCATGAGCTGGTGAATAACACGTGTATGGGGGTCTCCAATAGTAAGGGTGCCGAGCCACATGACAGGGAGATCCTGGAATGTGAAAGATTTACATTCTTTTTATATACTTTGTGACCAATGAAATGTTCTCTTTTAGGTGTTAATGAGCAGCATTTTTTTTTTATATAATTTTGAAACTGCTATGGTAATTTTGATTATGTATCTCCCATGACAATGCTGCGAGATGAAATAATGGTAACTAGTTATCCTTAGTGGCTATGAACCTGGCCATATTCTTATCAACCTGTGTTGCTAACACGCCGTTATATCCACTTTGGGCGTTTTCTCTTTGGAAGCAAAATAATACAAAGATTTAGTGCTCCGAATGTATTTTACCATTGCATGCGCATTCGATGAAATCAATTCCTATATGACATTTTCAGAGTGATTTTCTGAGTCCCGGCCAACAAGTTGTATCAAATCAGAGTTTGTTACAGATGCCAAAAACCACAGCGCCTGAACCAAGGGTTATTAGAATCCTTAGATTTTTTTTGTCGGTTTTCAGACATTGTTTACATTCATTTTCCTCTAGTTTTGTCCGTCTAGGAACATTTGGTTTTACACAATAATAGTCCAAAGTAATTTTGAATTGTAACTCTAGCTTAGCATAACCGCCTTTCGTACCCTAACCCTAACTACCTCATGTTTTATTCCTCTATTTCGGCCTTGGGCATGTTCTGGTGGAATTGTGAAGTACCAAATCAGTCGAATTCAGCAAACACTGGTTGTCTACGCTGTAACTCCTAGAATAAGGTTGCCCATAAGACCTGATCGTGCCAAATGCTTTTCTTCCCAACATAGTAATAATTTAATGTCTACCGTTAAATCATCCCCAGAACCAATGGATGAATTCTACCATAATCAGCAACCGACTTCGTTGAACACAGTGAGTAAGTAATGTACAGAAAAACATGATTCACTATTTTTTGTAATCATAAATTGTAAAGGAGTAAAAACACAAGATCATTATCGTCGCAAGTTGTATTATAATGGATAAAAGTCATTTCTTTCTGCAGTTTTCAGCACAACTCTTCTAAGGTTTCTAAGGGTAACAATTCACGGTTTTTTCTTCACTTATCTAAAAGACCCTTACCCCGTGTTGACATTCTTTTGGGAAAAATCAATTAGATTATGTCATTTTGATGCGATGCTGTTACTACACAGCTGAGGTATACATCTAAGGTGTCTCCTAATACTATTGCCAGTTCTATGATGGCCCTGTTTAACACCATACCGTCTCTTTCTTTGCGCATACACTATTTGTTTTTCTTTGAGGGAAGACAGGAATGTGTCCATTAATGCTTTTAGCTTGTGAAAACAAAGCAGTGAACAATACTGAGGAACAAAAACTACCCGGTTGAAAAGGGAACAAACAGTTAAAAAAACGTTGAACTGGAGCGACATTTTTAAAGAAAATATACTGCCGAGGCTTGGCTAAGATCTTTAATAAATTGGTGTAACTCAATCATATATTTGAAAGACAAATATGTTTTCGAGCGCAATTTGTTTGTTGGTAATTCTCTAGAGTTATGGTCTCTTAACTGCTCGCGTAGATAATAAGATAAGTTGACCTCCAAAGCAATCGCAGCCATATTGATCATCAAAATGTAAGACACGAAATTAGCAAGTCGGGTTCAAATGTTGTCAGAAATAAAACATACTTCAAAGAAAAACCGACAAGCAAGAAGGGCTGATATGATAAAATTGAAATGTGTCAAAGGGACATCCAGTTGTGTATACAGCTTTGTGATAAGGATGGAATTAAATGATCCACAATGAATCATGTTACTGAGTCTAACTGAATCATTTTGTTGTATCGTTTTTCAGCGCTGGAGCTTTTATTCGTCGTTAGAAACCGAAACACAATTTCTTAGTTTTTATAAGCATTTCAATAAATGCGTTCCTTTTGCAAGTTTTTTTTAAGGGATTTTTCCGGCGAAGATGCTCGTTTGTCCTTAATCATTTTAGGCGTGAAAAAAGGGATACACTTGATCTTTCCTGAGTGAATGTTTCAGGGGTTACTTTGATTTATTAGAATCCTTGACTAGGATGTGGCATTTTAATAAGCCTCATCATTTTTCTCCAAAATAATTATCATGCAGTTTTTTATCGATAATTTACTCAGTATTACTCGACTTTCTGCGACGCAATTTTATGTGAATAGTTTATCAGGTTTCATACAAAAATGTGTGTTAAATGTTTCATTTTAAAGAAAGCATGATGCCTTTATTAGTATAGTTCAGTAAAGGGCCGGACCTAACTGCGTTTTGTTTTAATGGTTAGTGAAGCATAAAATGAAAGGACGGACCTGCTATCATCCTTAATCACTCCAGCAACAATCTGTGTCCGGAACATAACTCGTTCAGTTTGAAAAATGTTGAGCAAGATTTCTTCTTTAGTTCTGACGTTTTTGGCTTCATCCATGACAAACTGTCGTAAACTACGCCTTAACGTGAACGAACCCTAGTATGGGATCTATATCTCAGTTAGGTCTCTCTTCTTCTGGCCCCAACTAATAACACTGACATAAGTTCGTGACGCTAAATACGTGCAAGCAGTCGAAGGAAGAAACACGACCGCTCCAAAGCTAAAATTCCATGCAGGGACGTTAATCGAACAGGAAAAAGCAAACACGTTCAGAATATTTGCGGGTGTAATTCGATAAAGAGCGAAAGTAGTTCTAGATCGGCGCGAGTTTATCTGGGCATTAATTCAGTTTTGCCGGTAGAACTTGCGACATTTTTGGAGACCATCACGAAATGCAACCTAGGAAACCAAGAATGGGAATTGTGTGTTGGTAAGATCTCCGGCGGTATTTATACTGCTTGACTATTCTTTGATGCCGTCCAAATTAATAGACGCATATTATGACAAACATGAATAATCAGCTCAGTTTTAATGAACGCTTGTGTTTTAACGTGGCTCAGGTTTGTTTTTTGCCTCGAACTCTGTGTGGGATTTGCGAATAAAAGAAAAGAGAAAGTCAAACCAGGAACTTTTTTTAAAATTTGTAATAAACAAAGTAATATTTCCCTGAATTACTTTTTGAAAAATAAAGAGTGAAATATGATGTAATTTACGAACAAAAAAATTCACAGAAAGAAGAAGATATCTACGAAGAAATCTCGGACGTATCATTTGATGTTAATCTGATCTTTGCTCTTCCTGACCTCACAATACTGTTAAAACACTTCCGCCCAGTTTAGTGACATTCGGCTGAAAATGTAGCGGCAGACAAAGTCTTTCGCTACGGAGAAAATTTTCAATTGTGTGTATAGTTTATCAAATCTATAGACACGCCATATATATAACAAGTAGGAACGATTGGTTAGACTCCAAACCAAAGTGTTTTGAGAAGCGACATCTCTACAACGACGATAAGTCTTGTCCTTCCAGCAAGTCGTGCTCTAGGAGAGCTGTTCACGTCATCTCTATCGGTTATAATGTAAGAAGCAATCTCTACTGATACGGTGTTAAAAACTGACAAAATGACGACATCTTAAGGCTTTCGTACCCGGGGTATCTTACAAACCTCTTACAGTATCTATAGACGAGCAAGACGATATCTGACGGACCCTACTGAAAGCACTTGAGCTCTGCAACACGATATTTGCCGTTGGATGCACCATTTGTCAGTTGTAAAGTTCATCTTACAAGTTGAATAATGTGCGTAAGCGTGCTTCCATCATTGCAGGTTTAAAATCATGAAAATATATGGTAAACAAATAAAAAGAGAACATTTGATTCATGTTAGACTTGGTGCACTTAAAACAAACATGAAGTTTCCAAATTCACAACAATCCTCCGATAAAGCGATTAATTTTATCAAGTATCCGCTAAAATATAAATGAGACTCACCCTTAACAGTGAACATGTCTTAACAGTGATATTACAATTAAAAGAAAACAACGCACTGAGTCACTGAAGACAGTTTTGTGCGAGTTTATATGTGTCATTGTATTACTTTATATGTAAAGCGAACTATGTAAAAACTGAACTCAGAGCCGAGTTATCGTGGAATAAAATACAGTATACTTTACCGTAGCATGTCAGCAAAGTTGAATCCAAGGGTTGCGGACACAAATGTGAGCGGTTATCAGTGAGTTGCGTGGAGTTTTGTGAAGAGCTGGGCTGTTCTACTGCTGCGATCGGCTTAGCACTGGGACATTGTGGTGTTGTAGGGACAGTCTGTGGTGCTAAAATGTCATCTATGAGAAATGACGATACTCTGGGCCTGTCTTCTTGTCTTTGATCCAGGTTCATTGAGTTTATTGAAGTCTGATGTTCACTGCCACGCGAACAAAACTGTTAAACTGTTTAAGCTGAGCGTGGCCTGTAGTTCGTCGGTCGGCTGAGTGGAAAACCTCTGTCTTGTGGCTCGATATGTTGACACGTCTTTGTTGACCGTCACGTTTTTATCCATTAGCGTTGATTTGTTGATTTTTATTATCTTTACTTTTGCTCATCAAATGGCAAATTACGACGAGCGCTTTAGGATTAAATGTAATTCGCCCTAGTTATAATGTTCTGCGATCAGTGGCGAGAATTGAACTGAACTCATCGTTACTATAACGAATTACTTGCCGACTTTGTGATAGGGACTGTTCTTGGCATTGATATGTTAACATCACTTCAAACAAAGAAAAAGAAAACCTAATGGATACTTTGTTGCTAATATCACGAAAACTGGTTAAGGTTATTAGATCAGGATAACTGCATATATGGAGTATCAGATCCCTGAAGGTCGTTTAATAACATGTTACAAGCTTAGTGTGTGACCCCGGCATGCCAATCAGAGCATGGCGTTATCGAAGCCTTACTCATGACGCTATAGTTAACACATCGTATATTTTAACGCCAATCTGTTTGGAAAGTAATCGCATATAACTCAATTAGAAGTTATATTAAGCGCCCCACACACCAAGCCAAAGTCTGATCAAGATCTAGTAGAAACATTATTGCGAGTAAACTTTTCGATCTTTTCGGTTCGATTAAATTGAGATTAGACATTAATTTCGCATTTTCCATTAACAAGCGGAAATCTTTGAAGCTGTTCACTGTTTTCTTTCTAATTCATATTTTCCTTTTCCTGAACGTACGGTGACAGAAGCATTTCTGGAACACAAAGACGAGTGACGTTTTTTGCATCAGAATAGGCTGAAGTGTAAACACATTAGTATAGATAAAAGATCCAGCTTGACTGTAGGCCATTTGTTTATAGATTAGGCAAACAAGTTCGATTCGATATTCCGGTATTTCATTTTGGTAATTTTGAAAACTTTTTTGTCTCTCAGAAATTTTTTAACTTTGATCTGAGACTGTTTCTCATCATGTGTGTTGAAACATTTTTCTGCTTAGATCGAATCAAGATGAGGCAAGTTAGGTAGCTCAGTTGAAGACAAGTATTTGAAAAATGTATAGTGTGCGCAAAACAAGTGGCAGTTAAAGAACAGTAGCCGACAAGATCACAATATGAGTATTGTTAAAACGTTCAACAAATCTGTTAATGCTTTATGGAAACCAAGCATCCGATTGTTGTTAAAGCAAGATAATGCAGGCAAACAAATGGAACAGTAGCTACACCATAGTGGATCCTCGTGTACATCTAAGTCAATCATTTTCTCTTTTTGTTCAGCCAATTAAATCAGCATGTGAAATTCAAGTCTTTTCACTTAGCCCGTTGTTACGCCCAGGTTCCCCGCGGGGAAACTTGCTGGCCAGACTGATCGAAGGCTCTCCCGTGAAGCTTGTAACACCATGCAAGGGTGAGTGTACTTACTGTTTAGTATCTTAAACCAAGCTTCTTCTGTAACGACTTTCGTTACAACTGTCTATTTTTGGAACTTTTTTTGCCCCTCGTCGGGTTACGATAGATCAAAACGTGCCTGTGAGGAAAAATTAACAAGGACTCAAGGGACGGTGGAATGAAGTCTGTTTATGAAGTTTCCTATTCAGCCACCAGGGGAAAAAGCTTTTCATCTAACCTACCGCTGCTCATGAAAACGTGTTAGGTGAGAAAATAAACTAGAAAATAAAGAATTGTGATGAGATCTTTCGTTTCCTTCCATGCACTTAGAACTGACAGCCGCTTAGCTTGACTTAAAATTGATATGTAATGTAGTGTTAACAACCGAGTTGAAAACGTAAATTAACCACCGTAAAGGGTAAAAATGCTGACGTTTCGAGCTTTAGCCCTTCGTCAGAGCGATAGACGAAGGGCTAACATTCGAAACGTCAGCTTTTTTACTCTTTACAGTGGTTAATTTACGTTTTCAACTCTGTTGTTAACACTAAATTACCTGTTATACTCTCCCACCGACCCAGCATGACAGTTTCTTTAGAAACTTACCCCCCTTAAAATTGATATTTTCTCAATTTTCTGCCAAGATTTAAAAGTTCCACCATTTGATCTTAGAGTGCACAGATAGCATGTTGCTTATTACAATCTTAGGCTTTAGGTTTCAATTTTATTGCAGCCTGCACTGCAAATACAAAGATTTTACTCACAGACATAAGGAAAGAATATCAAAGATTTTGTTTCCTTTATATAAATTCCGTTATTACGCAATATCAGAATAATGCATTATTTGAATAAGAAATAACCTATTTTTACTTAATTTCAACGCGTGATTGAAATTATTCAGTGAAATATCCTTTCTTCCGAACTGAAGACGATTTTCTAAGTATATCTCACTTGGGCAGATCACGTTCGTTGAGTGGTGATATAAAAGCCTTTTTGTTTGTGTTCCTTTATGTGTTATTTGTTTACGTCGTTGTTTACTCGGCATTTCTTTGAGGACGAATGGAGTGTCGGCAGCTGGAGCGTATGCTTTCCTACCTGTAACTTTCTAAAGTCGGCCTGGCTCAAATCTGTTAAACTTCCTGTTAATTCAACGGTGGATTGTTCACCGTCTGTATCAAAGTCCATGTCATCGGGACGATTTTCTTCATCAGACGGCATCGGTGGAGCCGACGTTGAATATATTCGACCCTCATCGTACTTAAACGTCAAGCCTGAGGCTTTTGAGTCGGGGTCATTCTTTATCTCAGGAGCTTTTCCTTTAGGTAACTCGTACGCATTCTCGGCCTTTTCCATGCTGTAGCATCGTCTTTGAGATAGACCAGTCGAAATGCAACTGGGTAATTTTGCCGCCATTTACTAGAATGTGATATTACGGGAAGAGAAAAGAATGGTAATATTTTTATTCTTCTATGGCATATAGGGTAAGTGATCACACAAGGCTCATTGTTGTATGATGGCAGGTGTCCTTCTATCCTAGAAATTCAACCGTATGAACCAAGAAACAAAAACAAATTCGGAAAAATTTTCACATCAGATTTGCCTCATCTTTTGAATTTCCTTTAGCTTTATTAAATGAAAATCAAAACACGTATTCAAATCAAAGAATTAGTAACCTTGTATGAAAATATCACAATAAATTGATTTTGTTCAGCGTGCGACGAAAAGTCATTTACATAGTGGCAGAATAATGACTGACAGATGTTACACGCGATCTCTGGCATCTTCAATGTATCTGGCGCTCCCTAGAAACTCATATTCATTATTTACAAGGTTTTCTTAAAATGAGCTCCATGATGCAGCCAACTGTTTCGGTAGAACAGTTGTTTTAGCAACACTTGTTTTGAAGTGGATTGCAGTATGTCATAACATACTTTGTCGCCACACAGCACGGTTCCTGCTCGAGTCATGGAACTACCTATAGGTCATTTGTTGAGGACGTCATCGTACGAGATTGATCGTGCTGCCTTAAAATCTCGAGTAAAAAGATATTGTTGGTTTAAAGATCTCAAGGTAAGCATGCGGTATGCAAATTTCTTATCATTTTAAAATTCGGGAGGGCTTCCCTCAGGGAATTAAGTCCATCTGTGTAAAAACAAAGTATCTGGATAGCCTCTTGAGAGGTTAGGCATATTGAAACCGAGTAACAAGATGATAGAATAACGATTATAGGCGTTCCACCTTAAGACACAACAGCAACTGAGACACACATTAACAGTTGGTTGTTGCTTCTGCTGGTCGCTTTCATGATACCTTACACCGTTAGATAATTGAAAAACTAGAAAATCAGAAAAGACAGGAGCAACTGCGTTCGCTATTACTAGTGCCAAGTAGTTGCCTTTGTTAACTTTTAAGAACTACTCAAAGATGCTTCATTCAAGGTGGGATCTTAATATTATTAGAACTGAAGGATGTTTGATAAAATGGTTACGGAAGTCAGAGCATTCGTGAAACTGATTTAAATATTACAATATGTAAATGAAAGAAAGATACAAACCTGTCTCTAAACCAGGAAAACAATCACGCTGATTGTCTTGTACCTTGCGATCAAGTGTTGAACTTTTCAAAACTGGAAATGTTACTCATTCAGTACATGCAGTGTAAGTACCCACGGACTACATTCGAGGCCTCTGTGCCTTCAGAGAAAAACATTTTATCAAGTACTTCTTTTTTCCTGGAAAACACCATTTTAGTAACCAGTCTGTTTAAAGTTTATTTAAGTAAGCGATGCCGTTGGGTGTGTTCTCGAAATTGCAAATTTAGGTTTCGAAGTAATTTTTTTTCTACTTTTGAGAATTTCGCCACCAAAAGATTCAAAATGTAGATTGGAACCAAAGTATCTGATCCAGGCAACAGTAAGCCACACTTGTGAGAGAAAACATTTTAATGTGAAATTTTTCTCTGTACAACAGCCATCTTAGGCACTTAGTTACCACATTAACGAGATAAGTTCACTCGAAGTCTTCTGTTTGCACACGTCCATCCAGTTCTATCAGTAATGAAGAGAAAATATCTGTACAATCGTATTACAAACGTCTCATAAAGAGTATTGAGTAAGAAAAAAAAATTAAATATAACGTATTGGGTGACTGACTATATGCAAGGTGAATTATCACACAGTTAAATTACTTAATCATCCAACTGGCACAAAAGAGCCACTCCACGCATGATCCAGTGCGACTGCGGCTGGTCAGACGGCAGGCGCATATCCATTACAAAGTTGGTTGAGTGTCCTGTGGTGGAGAGTGTTCCACGTCTCTCGCTTGTCTTGTACACAGGGGCAACATAGTGTGGTCTGTCTACAACACCCTCCTTCTTGCAGGGCTTCAGCCACATCACAGGCATGTTATCGTACAAAACTTTAGGGTGAGACTCGCCTATCACTTTTTTCTCTCTGTCCCAGCGGGAACCTTCCATGAACAAGCCATTCACGTACACTCCGTCCTCAGGTGGGGTGTCGTATGTCTTGTCTTCAAGAACCTCGAAGTCGAAGGTCAACAAATCAATGGGAATGGTGTATTTTCTTGCATAGTTCTGCTTTGAACCAGTCAAGAAAGCCTGGGTGAAGAAAAATCCAGACACCCAAAACACGGGAGGTGCGCCATTATCATACCATTCCTGAAGGAATTTCAGTCGGGCTATGAGGTCATTAACATAGCTGCCGAG